TTGATTGACCAATAGTCAATGGTACCTTTATTGCAGAGTGACAAAAAGAAGGTCATTTTCTGGCAGAATGCGATCTGTGCTTCTCTGTATTTAGTATTCACCGAAGGAGAAGTGTTTTTTGAGCACAGTGCAGGATTAGTTTATATTTCATACCTTTTATATAAGTGATCTCTAATATAAATGGCAAGAGTAACTGTTAGCAATATTGCTTGCTGAGAAATTAAATTTTACCAAGTATTTTTGGAGTTTGAATATTTAATGTTTCTTTTTGCCTTCACACACCTTGTGATGCCATAATTCAGAATGTCTGCACTCACAAAGCCAGTCATCTTGATTGACAAGTGTGTTTTACAGCTTGTTATTTTGACTTTGACTTCGGGTGAACTGACAGAATATTAAGGGCAGGCTAAAAATGTTTGTTAAAGCCATGATATTGCTTATTGAAAGTGTTTTGTAATTTCTTTTATTTTTTCATTACTTAAAAAAAAGAAGGAAAAGAAAGAAAAAAATTAGATCTGGTATGAAAAAAATCTTATTTTTAAGCTATCTGACCTTAGTATATCGAGTTATTTGATTAACTTATTGAAATATTCATATTACTTTGCTAGTCATAAATGAAAGTGTTGCATTTTAATGTCACACTTAAAGGCCTTATCTATAAGATACTTCATGTAATGTAAACACTGAAATAAGGGAAATAAGATCTGTGAAATGCAGAGTTATGATAGAGATTCAGTTTTATTTTAAGAACAAATATAACATTACAAATGAACAGTAAATACAGAATACATTTTTTGTAGTTGCTCAGACATCAAGCTTCTTTGCCCAAGCCTTTTGTCAGCGACCCATTTTCATAATTTGTGAGCAGACAAGCAACCGTATACAGCTGGTTGATAATCCCAAGAACACCCAGGGGAATTTCAGAGTCAAATAACTTGTGCTCTTTGACTCTGTGAATGAGGGTCTCCACATGCACCCCAAGGCGTGCTGCGGCCGGGATCCTCTTAACTTCCCCTCCAGACATCTGAGACCTACCAAAGAAAACCGCTGGCCTGTAAACCTTGCAGGGTACAATGTCATCAATAATTAAGCCTCTGTATATCATGACAGCCATCCCTGGTTTTAAGAGGCTGAGGAGACCAGATTCACATGTGATCTGCTTGTCACTGATGGACCCCGCATACAGTCCTGAGACGAATGTCACTGCCCCATGTGGTGCAATCCCTATCAGCCCCTTCAGAGTGCAGTGTGATTTGTAAGATGAAAACGTCTTACAAAAGAGGATAGGGGAAGATGGGCACTGGCACCTCAGCTCAATACAGTCAAGGATGACTGTTGTGTCGGGGTAGTCCTTGAAGTCGGCAGGTAGACTGCTGTGGATCTGGCCCTCAGGTATCCAGATCCTAACGGAGCCAAGCACCGTGAATAGAAAGTTGGTCCATGCAGTAATGATCCATCTGACTGTGGACTGATGGATACCATAAAGGTCAGCAAGATCCCATTGTTTGGATCCAAGGGCCAGGTAATTTAGGAACAGGAAAAATTCATCAATGGGCTGCAGGGTTTGGGTTGAGGAAGTGGAGTCGATTCCAGTTTCTTTCTGTCTTTGGCGAATACTGACCAGGAATGGCAGAGAGGGCTCGATAATGGACCAGAAACGCATCAGTAGGTCATATGATGCAAACCTGAAAAACAAAACAAAAAAAAAATTACATACCAATAATTGTTGAAATTTATCAACACAACATAATAATGAAAAAGGGGTCTATAAATAACACTATATGTTATTCATAATCTATGCCTTTAGAATTGGATTTCTTTAGAGGAAAAGTAAAATTTTATATTTATTTTTTTATAATGTAGGATGAAGATTTTTAAGTTTTTGAAATTTCAATATGTAAATTTTTCTATGTAACTAATACAGTTTTAGAAAAATTTAGAGAAACAATCAAAATGTATTATACCTTTAAAGTCTAATGAGATTCAACATGACTGAATGCAAATAAATAAAAATATGGTAATCTACAAATCAACTCCATGAATGCAGTGTAAATCACATCATTATGGTGTCATATGGTAAATTTACGGGTATATACTAATACGGGAGCACGGCATGAAAGAGGGGTAAAATATGGTAGGTTCCTGGCCAAAACGGGAGACTTATACCAAAACACAAAGTCTCACCTTGTGAAGAATCTAATGTCCTGGTCCGATGATGCGAAACGGTGAATGCCGAACCGTTGCCTCAGAGTGAGGCTCTCCACCTGTTCCCGTAGTTGGCAGACTTCCTCCCAGAGAACATAGTTATCCTCCAACACCAAATCCACAATCGCAGGGTCTGGAGCCGAGGCATAATCGTGTTCCTTAGTACAGACTTTGGCTGGTGGGTCCTCCACACTGCCCTCTGGTGGTAGTCTTTTCCTGCTCTCCCAAACCCCTGGTGGCGGGAGTGGAAGGGAGTAATTATTCCACTGGAAGAGAGCAGGTACAGCTCCCCTTTTTAACCTCCGTCGGCCCATTTTCTTCTTGGACTCTTTTATGTCCTCAGGTTTGAAATGCCGGCTACAAACTCTAGTCTGAGGTTTGAAGACCAAGTTATCCCTCCGGATAGCGGCTATCCATCGTTTCCTTAACGCCTCATCAGAGGGAAAGCTGAAAAAACTGAGTAACTTGTTGCACCCGCTGCTCACCGGACACAACGGCACACAACAAAACTCGGATGTTGTGCCAGTTGCCATGAGATATTTTATTTTCTGCGTCCTATTCATGGTCGCAACCGCTAAACACTCTTCAGAAATGAAACATCTATGTGGAGTACATTTAAACGGAAGTACGTCACCGCTCCTCGTGGAACGGCGGGTGTTTGTATGGCAAATCATTTTAACATAAATTCGGTTTTACCGCCCTTACGCCCCAGATATCTGAAACTGCTTTATGTTTTACTAATGCAAGATATCTTTAATTATGTTTTGACTAGACAAAATACCTATTCGAGATATCTGTAATTACATTCCGACTAGTCGAAATGACGTCAGATTTACTACTGATTTGCATGGAGACTATGGTTGTATGGCAAGCCGTTTTAACATAAATTCGGTTTTACTACTCTTCCACTCCAAATATCTCAAACTGGTTCATGACTAGAAGTTTTAGTAATTGAAGATATCTTTAATTATATTCTGACTAGTCGAAATGACGTCAGATGTACCACCGACTTGTGTGGAGACTTCAGTTTGAGATGTCGACAATGAATTACTGACTATCTGCAATACACATTTCAGATATCTACAATTAAATTATGACTGGTCAAAAAGTAAATTCAAGATATGTCGATTTTAGTTTCGACTGCTCATAATTCTATTTAAAGATATCCTGAATGACACCGTAATTCAAGATGTGTTTTTAGAGAGGAGATTTAGTTTTGACTTGTGAAAATTAAATTATAGCTATCTTAAAAGCAAGTAATGGCGAGGCAAAACTAAATTAGAGATATCTCAAATTGTCATTTTAACTAGTTAAAATTTATTTTCAGATTTCTCCAGACGAACTAGAGACATCTTGAATTACCCAGTTTTTCTTTTTAAGATATCTTAAGTTAACATTCTGACTAGTCAGAATGACGTTAATAATATCTTGAAAATGTATTGTGCATAGTCAAAACATCACAGACTTATGTAACATTTCGAAAGTTAATAAAACAATGAAAAATTGAAAAAGTAAAAAAAAAAATGTAAAAATGTTTGAAAAAGCACCACTTTCATTTTGGAAATAGGTTGACAGCAGGACTTTTAGCTTTTCACAAATGTTTTTAAGTTTACTATGTTTGTTGGAGGTAAATAAGAAACCAATTCTGTGCAGATTTCTGAAGCGGTCCACAAGTGCCTAAAGTTTTGCTATATCCACATGTCCCATATTTATGGATGTGGAAGCCTTTTTCCACCACTCTGATAAAAATAAAAATAAAAGATTTTCTCGAAATAATGAGATACTATCTTCACTCCTCTGAAAGGAGTGAAGGGATTATTTAAATCCACTAGGGGGCGTCCTGAACTGTCTTACACTAAAGACTGAGCTCATTTTCTCTGGGACTGAAAATGTATTCAAATATTTTGTAAAGATATTTCTTTTATTCCTAAAAAGAAAATTGAAAATAGACGTACCGTTTAACTTTAAAATTATATTATGTGGCTTTTTCTGTTTAAACACTCCAAAAAAAATTAAGTCTTTGTTATAAACTTTGTATTAATTTGAGCAAAATTAATTTGAGCTGCAAATTTTTAAAGATAAAGCCCAAATTGAATGCCTTTGATGCCCCAGTTTTCTGTATTTAACGTTTCCCTGCTTGTAATTTTTGTTCTTTGTCCTTAAGCCTCATCATTTTTTTCACTCCCTGTTTGTTTTTGTAATTTGTTGTACATATTTGTGTTAATAAAAAAATATAATGTATTTAATAAAGATCAGTTCAACAAAATCTGGACTTGTAGAGTAAGTTGCATTTTCTATTTCTGTGTGTGTAAAAATTATGATGCAATGATTTAAGTAATTTAGCAGACATCTTGTTATCAGTTCTTAGGGCTTGTGGTTAATCTGATTAATCTTAATTCTATTTGAATCCTTTATGATATCACAGGGGCAACATGCAGGAGCAGATGGTTCAGTTTATGGCCATATTCTTTTTCTGCTGGTTTCATTTTGAAGCTACCTGGAAGTTTCTGTGAGAAAACTTCTCTACTATGTTATTAGATTGTAGTTGCAGTTTAATTAGTAGACCTAGTTACATACATTTCCCCAGCATCTTTAGTTCATTTTGATGAAAGAATAACTTTTTTCTGCAGTCATCAAGTACATGGTTTATAACTGTCTTTCTGGGTGTGGCAGATTTAAGCCGGAGAATACTCAAAAAAACGTTTGATGCCTCTTTTATACATTGCACAGCTATAAACTGCAGAATACATTACACAGTTGTACAAAAATAATAAATAGCCAAAAGCACTGCAGCATGGAAACCACTTCTTTTATTGGTCACGACGGGGAGTGTGTGTTTCTGAAGCAATTAGGTTTCATTGTGTTGTGGCCTGGCTGTATGTAGACTTTCTTTCTTTGGCTAAGTGAACCAGCAAGATGCAGTTTTCCCTTGGCTGTTGGTTGTTGATGCAAGCTTTCATTGTTCTTCTTCTGGGTCTCTGTATTGAATTAACTTCTGGCATCCAACTCCTCCAGTGCATCCACGAGCCTGTGGAAAACACAGGATAGATCTTTTATTTTTTTTTTGTCTAAATAATTCCTGGTCAAAACTTTGAAACGAAGGAAGAGATGAAACCACATACATATGTATTTAATATTCCTTACTTAAAGTCTTCACCATCCAGCAGACTCTTGTAAGTGCTGATCTCGGCCTCTAGCTTCATCTTCATGTTGAGCAGCGCCTCGTAGTCCTGGGTCTGCTGTTTGATATTTGCCCGCAAGTTGGTGAGCTCTTCTTCTAGGCGTAGAATGATGTTGTTGTATTTTTCCATTTCCATGTTGTAGCGTAATTCTGTGTTATGTAAAGTGTCTTCTAAAGAGGATTTCTGTCGAAGAAGTGAGAAAACGTGTGAAAATCGGTCCACAAAAAGACATTCTTGAATAAACAACATGCAGCGCTAGTTTTACAGATTGGATCATGGCGATGTACGAATAAAGCAAAAACGTGCAGAAAATGTTTTGAGGGCTTACTAAGCTCTGTTGAGACGCGAGTTCAATTTCGAGCGTCTGTATTTGTCTGCTTAAATCGCTTCTCTCCACATGAGCCCCCTGAAGTGCTTCTGTATTCTGTGACACCTGGACTTGCACATCTGCAATCTGACAAGGGGATAAAAAAAACACGACACGTTGACCTGACAAGACCTGTGGATGAAGTTAGTCCACTACTTTATCTTATCATTTTCCTCGTTTTCCTGGCATTCCTTACCTGATTTTCATGCCAGCGTTTAAGGTCCTCTGCATTCTTCATGGCAATCTTCTCATAGTTGGATCTCATGTCCTCCATAATCTGAGAGAGGTCCTGACCTTTGGGAGCATCAACATCCACCTGCACGCCGGACTGAGAAATCTGATTCCTTATCTCCATTACCTCCTGCAGGAAGGTAAAAGGGTTAGGGAGACGAAAAGGTCTGGAGAAACATGTTTTTTCTTTTTTAAATTAGAGAGTTGAATTTGAATTGCTGAATGGCTATGAAGCCTATAGGATTTTTCATATTGTGCTAAAAGGAAATATGTAAAAAAGTTTTTTGCTTTTACATAAATACATGTATGTTAAAGGAGAATTGGTGCCTCCCTGTGGAGCGTGTGGCTTTAAGCATTTTGAGAAATATCTGTATGTAATTTGCATAATTCATCTACAGTTAGAGGTTAGGGAATTTTTTATTGGATTTAATCATCCATACTCTAAAATCTTAAATCCTTAGATTGTGCAGCGAACATAGGTTACAGGTTTTATTTCTTCATAAAAAACATTTTCACTGTGTGGATGAAGTTGGACCACTTTAGATCATTTCAGAAACAAAATTTATAGATTGATTGAACCTGGATTAAAATTTTAAATTAAATTTGTGTTTTATGAAACCATAATTTCATGTGGAAATAAAATTGCACTCTTTTCAAGAACACTCTGGAAACACCGACCGAGTGTTGCTATTTAGATGCAAAATGTTAGTGAGTCTTGATACCTTGTTTCATTTTAAGAACAGAGAAAGCTGATCTCCACAGCTTGGTGATGATGCTTTATCTTAGCACTGGAAAGAAACTTGTGACTCTGTTGCTAATGTGTGTTAAAAGCTGCAAGGTCACAGATAAATCCAGGGAAATTTGGATGCAAATACCTAGGATCTCAACAAATAAATATCCTAGTGGGATATTTTTGCTACATATTTTGCTACAAATCTAATTTATTTCCATAGTAAAAGAGAAAGGACATACTTTTTACTCTGTGTTTAAGCTGAAATTGTAAACTGGTTTTGAGCAATCCCTTTGGGTTTCAAGAACCACTTTGCAACTGTGACATTTTCTATTTAAGAACAAATATTGTGCCCCAGGGGAAAGTGCTAAACATAAAGAGACCCTGCAAACTCACATTTTCATGGTTCTTTTTCAGGAAATGGAGTTCTTCCTTCACAGCTTCGATCTCACTTTCGATGTTCAGCCTGCTCATGTTGGTTTCGTCGATGACTTTCTTCAGGCCAGCGATGTCGCCCTCCACAGACTGGCGGATCGCCATCTCATTCTCAAACCTGTTGCAGGTCAGACATGCAAACACCATGACACATTTCCAAAAGATGATGGAGTTAAAGGAATCGATGTGGAGAACCATAAAAAAGTACATACTTCACTTTGAAGTCATCTGCAGCAAGACGGGCGTTGTCGATCTGGAGCACAAATCGAGCGTTCTCGGCTATTTTGTCAAAGATCTGCAAGAGAAAAAGTTATTTTAGGTGTAACATATACATACGTGTATGCAACCAAAATAAAAAATAAGGATATAGTGCCCTTTAAATGCAGATAATTTTTGAGAGGGCTCCTCCATAGATGTAAAAGTCTGATTTGGCGCATTTACTTCCCAGTATTTAACGGCAGAAACCCAAGAATTAAGAGCGTAGGATTGTTTGATTCATAGCAACATTTGCTTATAATAAAAAAGGAACCATAAATTGCAGAACAGGAAGAGGGGGATGTTCCTGTGGCAAAGCAAAAGTTTGTTTTAGCGTTGCTATATAAACGGTTTCCTGTCTGAAGAAGTCACGCAAATAACTTTTTCTTCTCTCCAGCTTTCAGCTGCATGTTGCTGTCAGTCTCTTGATTCACTCTGGGGTTGTATGCGTGCACAGATCTTGGAAATTCTTTCTGACTGACTCTCAGCATTTTTTTTTTTTTTTTCCTGTGGTCATCCGTCCTGCCACAATAAACAGACTAAATTCTTGTGCCCTTTATGCCAAGATAGTCACCATAGATGTGCCATGACATGATATTGAAGAGCTGGACCCTGGAAAGGAATGTGACATTTGACTCTCTGGGACTGGAGCTGATTGTTATACAACCACTGCACTGCAGACATCTTTCAGTGTGTGTGTGGATGTGGTTTACTACACATCTGTTTCCCATTGAGGCTCTCCCACACCAGAGCGTGCTTGTAGAATCACCATCTAACAAGCAGATTCTTTAGGGTTTCTTTTTTTTCCCCCCTGGTCTTCTCAGTGAGCCTCTTGTGATTCAAACCTCGTGTTAGTGATTCATTGGAGGAAGTTCTGGCCCATTTGAAGCACTAAAGAAAACTCTGCAGAGGGAGGGTTGTAGCTTAGCAACCACACCCTTCATTTTCATAAATGAAATCTGATAACTTTTGAAGATAATGCAACCTATTTTTAAAAATCCCAACTAGGCGTCTTGTTAGTTTGGAGCACACATATAAGGGGCCATTTTCACCACTAAAAATCTACTTTTTGTCATTGTTTATGTCTTTAAGCAAAAGAGAGTCACAGATCTCCACTTTGAAGAACTACAAAGTTTTCTTCTCACCTGGTTGCGCAGGTCTTCTATGATGGGTTGGTACTTGCTGTAATCTCTCACATCCTGACCGCCCTTCTCCATGGCCTCCCTGATGTTCATCTCCAGCTTCTTGTTGGCCTGCTCCAGGTTCCTCACCGTCTCCAGGTAGTTGGCCAGACGGTCGTTTAGGTTCTGCATTGCCCCCTTTTCATTGCCCAGGATGCCGGCACCGCCACCGCCACCAGATGCAGCAGCCCCGCCAAAGCCTGCTCCCGCTCCGCCGCCCAGGGCGCTGCTGAGCTTGAAGCCGCCAGAGGAAGATGACATGGGAGCACCGGAGCGCAGGGAGGATGCAGAGGCAGAGGAGATGCGGGCCCCATGCCCTCCGGCTCCACCATAAATACTGTGAGCTCGGTACTGAGGAGCAGAGTGGGTGAGGGAGATCCGGGAGGAAGGGATCTGCATGTTGGAACTTCTGTAACTCATCTTGAAGAATTGCAGGAAGAGGTGCAAAGAGAAATCAGAGCTGTAGAGGCTGACTGCTGGCCGAGTTAGAAAGTGACGCTGCCAGAGGGAAGTGGGAAACTTATACTGCTGCCTCTGTCCTCCAATAACAGCTGGCCTCTTAGACCCTGCCCACTTCACCAACCGCCTCCCTGCTCGCTCCTTCTGTCGCCTGCTCACATGTTCTGTTTCTTTATTTCCTTTTTTAAGCCCACAATGTGTTTTCTGTCACCATGGTGATGCGTGAAACACTTTTGGCCGGGAAAAAGGCCTGAAGGTTGTTAGAGCAAACTAGACCCCACACATAAATTATTCATCAAAGCAAACAGAACAAAGTTACATTTACACCCTGCTCAGGCAAAGGTTTGCTTTAAAGGTAATAGAAAACTGATCCTGAACACTGAAGGTTCTGCATGTCAATAAGAAAGTTGCTCAAAACTAATAACTATTCACAACCCTTGAACTATGTCTCCTGGACTCCAACCATGCGAGGCAAATTCTTGCGGTTTGTCCATAAAAGGCAGAACGAATGAGATACTGCATAGTTTCTGTGTTTGTGGTCAGCAAGTCCTAGAATAAACAGAAGTAACCAGCCTTCTTATCTCCACCGAGCTAAACTCAAGATAACACCGCTGCAGAAGCAGGAAACAAGACCGAGGTGATACGCTCATGAACACATTTATAATAAGGAGTAAGTTTCACACTGAGCTGCTTTGCTGACTAGTCACACAACTAAACCCTGAAGGTATCATGGGGGGGTTTATTTGATGAACAAATGCAAAGAAGTAGTACAATAGTAGATGGTGGTCAACAGTCATGACAAGTATATTTATGTTGCATCAGATACTGCATAGTTTCTGACTGTCAAACTCTCATTGCAGAAACACCTGCAAGTCTTTTTGGGTAGGTCTCTATCAGCTTTGCACATATAGAGAATAAAATGTTTCTCATTCTACTTTGAAAAGGAAGCTTGACCTCACTCATATTGAACAGATTCTCAAGTTGAGTAAATTCTTGAGTTGGACACGTGCATATGACTGGATCTAATGCATTACATCGCAGCTCTATCTCTATGTTCAGGGGTTTTGCCCCACTGGAAGGAAAATCTGCGCTCTTGTATGTAATCTTTGTCAACTTCTATCGAGTTTTGTTCCTATTTTTTCTTATTTATCTCCATTGATTATATCATCAAATCTGACCACTGACCCTGTGCCTGCTAAAAAAAAAAAAAGTGCCTGCCTTAACATGATCACAATCACATGATTTTTGGACTCATCTGACCAAAACACCTTCTTTCACATGTTTGCTGTGTCGCAACCCTACACGGCTTCTGACCATTTCAACAACAGAATACACTATTTCATGAAGATCAGATTCATGACATGTTCATCCAGGAGCTGATGAATTGTGAGATGAACAGTTCATCAATGATTCTCTTCAAGGTGAATCTCTGACAAGCAAGAGATAATCCCGAACACAGAGACTTTAATCTCTTTATCTTCCCTAGTTATATCATGAGTTCTTGATTAATGGTTGCTTTTTGTTTTTTTTTGCCCAGCCTGTTTTGATGGATGACCAGACCAGGCGGTCTGCTATTGCCTCTTCTTTTTCAAATATTGAAGTAAACATAGATATTAAACTGTTTGTAACCTAATGCTGTCTTAAATTTCTCCACAACTTTTTCTTATATTAAATTGCACACAGATGAACTCTGTCGTCAGATTAAGTAACTTCTGAAGGCAATTCGTTACAACAGTATTTCAGAAACAGACCATCATACTGACCTTTAAGCATTCTTGTGTCAGGGTTGGGGCTGCTTCACTTCGTCATGACCTGGATGACTGGCCATACTTGATGGAATAATGAATGAATTTCCAGCCACCAGTGCAGGACTTTAAGCCAATCGCACTTTAGTTGTGCAGCAGGACAACAAACCAAAGCACTGTGGCAAAAGCCACTTATGAATGACTCAAAATTACATTTTGGAGTGGCCTAACCAAAGCCTAGACTATAATCCAAATAAAATACTGTTGTATGATCTTAAACTCACTGTTCAACCCCAAACACCCCAAAGTAAATGAATTTAAATATCTCTGCAAAGGAGAGCTTGTCAAAATTATTCAGTCGTGATGTTGAAGACACCTTTCCAGTTTAATTCAGTTCCAGTTAAATATTTGATTGATTCCAAAGGTTTTTTTTTTTTTTGTGCAATTACTAATCCACGTAGTGCCAAGTTAGTTTGGATAGCTTTTGAAAACCACCATTTGCAAACATAATTTTGAATTCACTAAGGTTATCTGTATCCTATATAAAAATATCACAAGTGTGACAAAATAAAAACAAAAAACACTGAAGACATCTGCAATGACAAACACTTTTCACAGCACTTTTGCCACTTTTCCCAGATTTTCATTTGTAAAACATTATGCAAGCCACAATTTTTCCCTCTAGCCCACAACTATGGTCTACTTTGTGTTGGTCTATCACTAAAATCCCAATAAAACACAGTTTACGACTGTATAATGTCACAAAAAATGAAAAGTCGCTTTATGAGACGACTTTTAATGGAAACAAAATGATATCTAAGCTTCCGATGTTTTCAGCAGCTCCGCAGGAGATGAGAAGCCTGAGAAGCAAAAGTCAGATGAAACCTGACTACAGTCAAAAGGAAAGAATGGATGTTCTCATTTACCAGTCATACTGCAGGCATCCATTACTGTCTCTGAGGATGTTGAAAAAGTGTTATTAAAGCTTTAACAATAGGACACGAGAACCAGTTTTAAGTACAGGAGTGTGAAAAGTGATCTTTATTTATGCTGATTTCTTGGGAATTACAGGTCAGCCTCGTTCTCTTTCTTTTTTTTAAATTTTATTAGAGATCCATCTCAGTGTCCCCAATTAACATGTTGTTAACAAGCTAAAGCATGAAAATAACCTTCATGAAGATAAGAACGAAAACGTTACTTGACAATGACCCTTCAGCATGACCCAAAAAGACTATTGGAAAACTTTTGGAAACTCTGAAGTAGCGGCTTAAGAGAGAATAAAACCAAAATTATCCTCTCCTGGGAGGAAACCCCAAACATACTCCGCACCCTCCCGAGATCCCACTGCATTTATGCCCTTTTCTTTTCAAAGTTAACAAATCTTTGATCATATTTCATTGTATATCACCCTTCACATTATACTGACTAACTTTTTAAAACAAAAAAAAAGTCTCAAACTGCAGAGAACTGCAATAATCTAACTGCAAATTACAGGAAGGATGAATGAAAGCAGCGTGACTCAAACCTCATGACTGTCTGAATGTGTGTTGGCAACGTTTGATTCTCTCGGGGAAACCAAACTAGCAACTGGCAAACACAAAATGTTACATGACCAGCAGTTTTAGCCACAATGTAATTAAAATATCTGTTTTTGTATCTTTCTTGTAATACAGAAACACAAATAGGCTTCATTTGTGGAGTGTTGTTCCCTGCTTCTGTCTGAGAATTAGAACTGCACAATGTTTTCTAAAAGAGAGTTCAGGAAGGGCGAAGAATAGAAAAACTGGAACACATTTTAGTGTGTGAGTCAAATGACTGCAGAAATCTGGAAACTACTAGGAGGGGTTTATGTGTTTCACAAATGTTGGACCGCAGCCTTCATGTTACTGTTCTCATCTGGTCTGGCCTTGAATAAATCTCACTTCCCTTCCTGTTTTGCTTTAATCCAACATTAGTGCAAACTTAGTGCTCTCACACAGTTACAAAAGCCTCAGATAGTACTAATACCCCATTCATATTTAGTCACATTACAACAAATGTCTATGTATTTTACTGATATTTTATGTGATAAACCAGCACAAAGTAGTGTAAAAGAATACCTCCATTAAGGCAAAGTGGCTTTTTTCCTTTAAAAGTATTTTTTTGATGTCCAGATAAACAGATAATTTGCATCATCCTGAGTACATAAAAATAAAGAAATAGAAATCAGCTAGTCTTTTGAGCAGCTTTTGGACATGAACAAATGCAGAAGAGTTGATTCTTTTCAAAGAGCCTTAATCCTCACCTCTACTGGTGACATACAGACAAGCAGAGCTATGATATAGCTAAAGTCCCTAAAAGTAACTAAAACGTAAATCAATGTAATTAGATATGATACTTGATCAGCACAAATATTGATCAAGTATTTAAAAAGGTAGTCTATTTTAGTGACTTTTAATTGAACCTAGTTACATTTTCAGTAGTTTTTAGAGGCGTAAATTAAAAAAATATTCAAACTTTATGATCATTTTGATTTGTGCAATGCTTTTTGTCTGTAATTGTTGTCATTTTTAATAAGTAAGGTGAAGGTCAGCTTAATTGTAAAATTTCATTTTATTTGAAAAGCTTGCTTCCTGTTGAGCCCTATGTTACATTAGAAGGATTGCATAGGTGTGCAACAATGCCTATGCATTGTGTGTAACAATGCATAGGGATTGTTACATTGAGGTAATAAAATACTCATTGTTAAATTCATGGTTTGTAAGTGTCCTTTTCAAGAGTGCTCATCAAATGACACAGATATTTGATCTGTTGCCATAACAGTAGCCTACAAAACACTGGTAGTTTAATCTCAGAACAAATCCAACTCTTCTGGGAAGGATGGATTTATTAGAGTCAACAAACAGTCTCATGAAGACCAAGCCACACAGCAGCAACTTTGTGAAAAACTTTAAACCAGGATAAGGTTGTATAAACAAAAGCCCATTTCACTGAGAACTGTTTAGCTCATCATCTCAATTTGGAAATATTATGTTTCTATATTGGTATATGAGAAGAAATATATTGGTCATATAGAACAGACAATCCAATACAAAACACGAGTGATCATATAAAACTGAGAGGTATAAACTTGACCATAACGTTGCTCAACATTGAGTTAGTCTGTAACATGAACTACTAATAAGATAGACTCAAGATCATGGTTTTATTTATGAAAAAATGTGGAAAAGCTCAAAAGATATGAAAACATAGGCAGTAAAATAAAAAAACTCAAGACACAAATGCATGTTTTCACATATCTTGATGCATAATAGATGCGAGAGA